CAGAGCTTGCAGTGAGCAGAGATCACGCCGCTGCACTCCAGCCTGGGCAACAGAGCGAGACTCCGTCTCAAAAAAAAAAATAAAAAAACCAAAGAAAAACAACTGGATGTAAATTCATGAACAAATGAAGTGCTGCTTTGGGCAGTGGGATTATAAGCGTCCTTTAAAGTTGTCTATGTGTTTATGTTTATATAACTAGAAGAAATATTTATTTATTAGGATATTATAATGAATGTGCTTAAAGTATTACCTGTAAGGATGTTTATGGTTTTTATGGCAATGTTGTTTATCATAGCAGAAAATAAGAACTGGTTAAATGTCCAACTATAGGGTAAAGGAAAAATAAATTGTGGTTAGGATGGGTTGTGAGGATCCTTAAACAGCTGATATATCTTTCAGTGAAAAAAGTAGGTTACAAAAAATATATACCTAATACAACATAATTCCATATTTTATGTGCATATCAGGGGAGGGAAAAACTCTAGAAGTGGGTAATCAAAATGTTAAAAGAACTTACCTATGAATGAGTGATTTATAGCTGGTCTGTTTTCTTTTTCAATTCTCAGTTTTCCAAATTTTCTGTGAATGCCCTCTTTTCATAATCAGATAAAAATCATTGCACTAGGCTGGGCACGATGGCTCACGCCTATAATCCCAGCACTTTGGGAGGCTGAGGTGGGTGGATCACGTGGTCAGGAGTTCAAGAGCAACCTGACCAAGATGGTGAAACCCCATCTCTAGTAAAAATACAAAAATTAGCCCCGCATGGTGGCGGGCGCCTGTAATCCTAGCTACTTGGGAGGCTGAGGCAGGAGAATTGCTTGAACCCGGGAGGCGGAGGTTGCAGTGAGCTGAGATCGCACCACTGCACTCCATCCTGGGTGACACAGCCAGACTCTGTCTCGAAAAAAAAAAAAAATCATTGCACTATATTAAATTATGATATTAATTTGATGAACTTATTGTCAATTAAAATGTTTAATTAAGAAAAAAGCCAGCCACAATCCCAGTACCTTTACAAATGGTGTTTCCTTCTTGTCCTCTCTAGGTGCTCAGCTGTATTTCATTAGTCTAGGCGTTTCCATTTCCCCTGGGGGGACAGGGATGGGGCACCAGGGTGGATGGGGGGCGGGGCAAGGATGCATTCAGTGCAGGGGGAGGCTGACTTTGCCTCCTCCCTCCCAGGCAGAGGGGATGATCAGCGAAATCCGGACTGCATTTGAGGAGGCCCTGGGACAACTGGTTTGGATGGATGAGAAGACCCGCCAGGCAGCCAAGGAGAAAGTGAGCGGTGGCTAGAGTTGGGGCGCCATCTTGAGGTGGGGTTCAGGGATACAGTTTTGCTAGGAACCTGGGGAAGGAAACAAACCCTTAACCTGGTCTCTTCAGGCAGACGCCATCTATGATATGATTGGTTTCCCAGACTTTATCCTGGAGCCCAAAGAGCTGGATGATGTTTATGATGGGGTGAGTACCTGAGCTCATCAGTGCTGAACTTCAGCCCTGTAGAGGACACTGTTCTTTCGGCTTAGTAACTGGGGCTCAAGCACTGGGAAAGAGGTGTTCGTCGGTTTCTTTTAGAGGCAGATGGAGGTAACCAGCATTGTTAAAGTGTTGGCTCTGTGTCAGGCTGCAGGCCAAACAGCAGTGAAATATAGTGTTAACGAGCCAAGATTTGGAGTCAAGCCTAATCATATTCTGTTTCTACCCCTAACTTGGTAACCTTAACAAAACCTCTCTAGGCCTCGGTTTCATTTTCTGTAAAATGGGGGTCCTACTAGTGCCTATCTCATAGGGTTGTTGTGAGATAAATGAGTGCAGTATGTAAAAAAAAAAAATAGCACCCGTAACATAAATGCCCTTTAAATATTGCCGATTATGGTTTACTAGATATTTTACAGTTGAGGAAACTGAGGTTTGGAGAGATACTGAGTAGCCAAACTGGGGCTATTATCTTCTCCAGTGGATTCTCTTGCTCTCTTTCTACTTCCCACCTTTCCCATAGTATGAAGTTTCTGAAGATTCTTTCTTCCAAAACATGTTGAATTTGTACAACTTCTCTGCCAAGGTGATGGCTGACCAGCTCCGCAAGCCTCCCAGCCGAGAGCAGTGAGAATGAGGGGGCGCACATAGACACTAGGGGCGGCGGGAGAGGTGGGGAAAGGTTTCCTGGGATAGGGGAAAAGGGTGGCAAGATTGCTCCCAGACCAGAGGCCCCAAGCCCTTGCAGGAGGTAGGTGGGGCAGGGCTGCTGGGAGGGGAACAGTGTCAGGAGAGTCGGGAGCCTCAGCCTCTCCCTCTTCCTCCTCCAGGTGGAGCATGACCCCCCAGACAGTGAATGCCTACTACCTTCCAACTAAGAATGAGATCGTCTTCCCCGCTGGCATCCTGCAGGCCCCCTTCTATGCCCGCAACCACCCCAAGTGTGTCTGAAGCAGGAGGGGCTGGGTGCTGGGGCCTGGGCCTGTGGCTGAGCTGGGAGCAGGGCTAGAGGTGGGATTCAGAAGTACCCCCACCATGTCCTCACTTGCCATTCCTCACCTACCAGGGCCCTGAACTTTGGTGGTATCGGTGTGGTCATGGGCCACGAGTTGACACATGCCTTTGATGACCAAGGTAGGGGCCCATGGAGTCGTCCCCTGGAGCCTAGAATTCCCAGTGGCTCCTGCAGGGCCTTGGGACATTGATGTAGCCCCAAGGGACCTGGAGTCTATGGACCAGGGCTGGTGGGGGCACTGCTGCCCCCGAGATGAGCTCTGGTTTTGGTGGGGTGCAAAGGTGAGTTCTCCTTAGGGCGCGAGTATGACAAAGAAGGGAACCTGCGGCCTTGGTGGCAGAATGAGTCACTGGCAGCCTTCCGGAACCACACGGCCTGCATGGAGGAACAGTACAATCAATACCAGGTCAATGGGGAGAGGCTCAACGGCCGCCAGACGCTGGGGGAGAACATTGCCGACAACGGGGGTTTGAAGGCTGCCTACAATGTGAGTGGCCTGACCAGCCCTCCAGCGGCTGAGGCCTGCTGGCCTGGGGTGAAAGGTGCTGGGTGGATGGGGGCAGGCCTGGATGGGCTTGCTGCCCACTGTTCTGTCCCCAGGCTTACAAAGCGTGGCTGAGAAAGCATGGGGAGGAGCAGCAGCTGCCAGCCGTGGGGCTCACTAACCACCAGCTCTTCTTCGTGGGATTTGCCCAGGTATCACCCTCCGGGAAGGCCTGGGGTCTGCCCCTTTGTCCTGCTCCCTCCTGAGTATGTCATTAGGAGAAGTCTGGGGCATGTGTCAAAGGGGCTGGGGAATGGGGCTGAGGCTGGGGCGTGAAAGGTGGGCTGGGAAGGCCTGTGCCCAGAGCCTCTCGGCCAGCCGGGGCCCACAAAGGCAGCCTGAAGAGGCCTGAGCAGGAGAACGCCTCGGTAGGATTTTACATAGCTCAAAGGGCAGGGTTGCGTGCTTGAGGGGCACAGGGTGGGGCAAAGGGTGGCAAAGGGGGCAAACATTGATCCTCACGCTGTTCCTGTGAGGAAGGCATGCAGGAAACTAAAGCTCGGGACGCAGAGTGGCCTGTCCGGGGCTGCCCAGGAATAGAGTAAGTGGCAGAGCAAGGACTCAGGCAGAACCTCCACTGGGCAGCCACAGCAGGCAGCTTCCGGGGCTCCGCTTTTTCCCCTCGTCATGTCCGTGCTGGGCAGCCCGATGTCCAGGGCAATTTTGGAAGGAACTTGGGAGGGGCTGCAGCAGTGGTGGTTTGTGTCTCTGGGACGGCTGTAGCCGACTCTAAGGCCCGGTTCCACACTAGACACCATATGCCCCCATGTCTGTCCTGGCCTGCAGGTATGGTGCTCGGTCCGCACACCAGAGAGCTCTCACGAGGGGCTAGTGACCGACCCCCACAGCCCTGCCCGCTTCCGCGTGCTGGGCACTCTCTCCAACTCCCGTGACTTCCTGCGGCACTTCGGCTGCCCTGTCGGCTCCCCCATGAACCCGGGGCAGCTGTGTGAGGTGTGGTAGACCTGGATCAGGGAAGAAATGGCCGGCTGTCACCAGACCTGGGGCAGCTCTCCCGACAAAGCTGTTTGCTCTTGGGTTGGGAGGAAGCAGATGCAAGCTGGGCTGGGTCTAGTCCCTCCCCACCACAGGCAACACGAGTACAGTCCCTCACTCCCCACCACAGGTGACACAAGTACAGTCCCTCCTCAATCACCACATTGTGCCTCTGCTTTGGGGGTGCCCCTGCCTCCAGCAGAGCCCCCACCATTCACTGTGACATCTTTCCATGTCACCCTGCCTGGAAGAAGTCTGGGCAGGGAGGCCAGTTCCCACGGGAAGGAGTCTGCCTCTTCTGGCCCCAAGCTTACTCAGCCTGGCGGCCATGGGGCCTGCCGTGCCTGCCCCACTCTGACCTGCAGGCCTGGATGGTGTACCTTCTGGACTTCTCCCCAGGCTCACTTAGTGCGTACTTAAGGGTGGACTCAGCTCTGTCTGGCTCACCCTCAGGGGCTACCCGTACCTCACCCTGTGCTCCTTGTGTCACTGCTCCCAATGCTGCTGCTGACCCTCACTGACAGCTCCTAGTGGAAGCCCAAGGGCCTCTGAAAGCCTCCTGCTGCCCACCGTTTCCCTGGGCTGAGAGGGGAAGTGCATATGTGTAGCGGGTACTGGTTCCTGTGTCTTAGGGCACAAGCCTTAGCAAGTGATTGATTCTGCCTAGACCAAGCAGGAAAGCAGATAGAGCAGGGAAAAGGAAGAACAAAGTTTATTTTTACAGAAAAGAGGGTGGGAGGGTGTGGTCTTGGCCCTTATAGGACCCTGTGCCAATAAATAGACATGCATCCGTCAGCCTGTCTCTTCCTTCAGTCCTGTTTTCATGGATCCATTCACTCATTCCACCAGTGTCTACAGAGCAACTACTGTATGCCAGCCACTCTCCTCAATGCTCATTTACTCACTCAGCAGATACAGGGGACTGAGATTTGAAGCCCAGAGAAGACAGAGAAAGAGAGGCAGGATGGAGGAATGGAAGGAAGTTGAGTCTGGCTGGGCAGAATACATTGTCTGCTAACTGGTGGCCATAGCCCCATCCCCAGCTGTTCTACAGCTGGAAGGATTTGCTGCTTCCCTCCACTGGTGCATGCAGCCGGGCCTGACACTGAGTCTGGGTAACTACTGGGCCAGGGTCAACTTGGAAGATGGGCAGCCCTTACCCTGCAGTGGTGGGAAGTCCTGGGCGAGGTAGCATATCACTCCCTGAGCTCCCAGAGCTCAAAGCCCTGGCCTCCGCTTGTAGCTGAAAAGACAAACATTTCCTTCTAGCCTCAAAGACTCAGAGCTCCTGAGAGTCACTCATTCCACCTACACGCACTCATCAGGCCTACCAAGTGCCAGGCACAGAGACTGCGCATATGGACTCTACCCTCCAGAGTGAGGGAGGGAAAAGGAACATTGACTGAATACCTCCTGTGTTCCAGGCACCTGTGCTAGGTGGCTCATTTCTTTATTCATTCATCCATTTATTAAGTTATACATTCATAGACTTATTTTCAAAAAATATATTGATTTATCAACAATGTGTCAGGCACTGGTGATATAAAAATGAATAGGATAGGTGAGGTGGTGCACCTGTAGTCCCAACTACTCAGGAGGCTGAGGTGGGAGGATTGCTGGAGCTCAAGAGTTCAAATCCAGCGTGGGCAACATAGCAAGACCCCATCTCTTAGAAAAACAAACAAACAAACAAAAAACCTGATGAATGAGAAGTTTCTTCTTCCCTTAGGTGACTCTTCTTCTGTTGGCACTTCCACCTTTATGAGCTCACCTAATCCTTGCAGCAATAGCCCTTTACAAATACTCTAGTCTCCATTTTACAAATCTAACCCTAACTACTACACTGCAGTCAAAGAGAGCTGGGCTGAAATGGAAACTCTGATAGTTTTGTGAGCTTCAGCTCATTCCCTAACCTCCATGATCCTCAGTTTCTTCACCTATGAAATGAGAACTACAGCAAAACAGTGGAAAGAGTCCAATCTCAATTATCTTTATTTTTTATTTTTGAGATGGAGTCTCGCTCTGTCACCCAGGCTGGACTGCAGTGGTGCAACCTCTGCCTCCTGGGTTCAAGTGATTCTCCTCCCTCAGCCTCCCAAGTAGCTGGGATTACTGGCATGCGCCACCACACCTAGCTAATTTTTGTATTTTTAGTAGAGATGGGGTTTCACCATGTTGGCCTGGCTGATCTCAAACTCCTGACCTCAAGTGATCCGCCTGCCTCAGCCTCCCAAAGAGCTGGGATTACAGGTGTGAGCCATAGCACCCGGCCTCAATCTCTATTCTCTTTAAAACTCAGTGCTCTAGGCGGGGCGCGGTGGCTCACGCCTATAATCCCAGCGCTTTGGGAGGCCGAGGCAGGCGTATCACAAGGTCTGGTGTTCGAGACCAGCCTGGCCAACATGGTGAAACCCCATCTCTACTGAAAATACAAAAATTAGCTGGGTGTGGTGGCACATGCCTGTAATCCCAGCTACTTGGGAGGCTGAGGCAGGAGAGATTGCTTGAACTGGGACCTGGGAGGTGGAGGTTGTAGTGAGCTGAGATTGCACCACTGCACTCCAGCCTGGGCTACAGATCAAGACTACGTCTCAAAAACAAACAAAAACACAAAAAAAACCTTAGTGCTCTCCAGGGTGCAAGTAGGGATGAGTTTGTTCAGTCTGGAAGGGGAGGAGTGAAGCTCTGGTAATGATTGCTGCTGGTCCTTGGCCCATGGTGAATGGCACTAGTATGTGTCCCACAATCTCTCCATAAAGAGCTGTATGTGGATCTCTGTCATGTGACCTCAAAGTGCTGGCTGCCCATGAAAGGAAGAAAGTAGCCGACTGCTGAGAAAGGAGGAAGGTGTTCTGAGGAACTCCATGACCCGGGGAAAGCACAGCCTGAGTCTCTAAGAGCATGACTCCAGGGTAAATGACTGTGTGTATTGGAAAGAGGAGGGCCATCACATCTGCAGGCCTGGTCTAGCTCCAGCTCTGCCACCCTTGAGCTGTATGACATTAGGCCTTCAGGTCTCAGTATCTTCTGCAGTCTGTAAAACAAGTGAATTGGATGAGACGATCTCTGAGGAACATTTCTGCTTTAATGCTGTAAAAAGTGAATCCATGGGCTTAGCAAATTCCAGCACCCAAAGAGATAGTAATAAATGACTTGCGACATTCAGATGAGATTTATAATGTCAGACAGCATAATGACAGAGGAGAGAGGCTTGGCAGATAAAGCCTTAGCCTTTCCCTGACACCTAATTTCAGAGGCCAGTTTACGATTCTGACAGGCTGGCCAGTGGGGTATTAAAACCTCATGTTGCAAAAAGGTCAAAGTGTCAAATAATGATGATGATGATGGCTAACCTTAATTTACTGAGTCCCTATTTTGCTTAAGCTTGTGCTAAACACTTTAAACATACCTTCTTATGAAATGCACACAACGATTTGCAAGGAGGCTCTATCATTGTCTCTATTTTACAAATAGAGAAACTAAGGGAAAAGATCACGTAACTTCCAATGTCAGACAAGACAGATTGCATTAAAGTTAGATTTGGAGGCCGGGCGTGGTGGCTCAAGCCTGTAATCCCAGCACTTTGGGAGGCCGAGACGGGCGGATCACGAGGTCAGGAGATCGAGACCATCCTGGCTAACCCGGTGAA